TGCCACTGACTCATCAGATATCCAATGCCTCGGGTAGGGTTACAGCTTCAGATCCACAAGCAACGTTCGCTGCGGAGTGCATTGCTCGGCGAATTTGATTCCATTGTTCATTTACACTACCACCCCGCAGTGCGTTTAGCTCTTACTCTAGTTCTGATTCAAAACGGGCGCAAACGACTGACTCAGATGAACGATGATCTGGCAATCGAGTGTGCTGGGATTTACTGCGACCAGTGAGTTGGAGAGTGAACTGCATCAAAACTAACGCATGATCAGATTCGACGCAGGTTTTTCAGTTCTTACAATCACTAGCCATGCACCGTTGTTGGTTGCTGTCTTTTGGCTGCCCATTTGGATGCACATGAGGAGAAAGACAGGGAAGGTTCAAAGTAGGATCGAAGAGAAAATTTAGAATTTCATTGCACTAATTTTGCAGAGGAATCAACAAAATGCACGAACGCCACTGCTTACAATACCCAGCCATATCACTCAGTGTCTCTAACCATCGGGTATGATTATCCCGAGGTCCCCAGCCAGGGAGCCTAACGGGACTCATGTGACTCAGACTCCTGGTCAGGGTTTTCATATCCACGTGCCAGGTCTTCCAGATTTTGTCGTTGCTTTTATCGACGTTTGGATCGCTTCCTTGATTGCCTACCAGTGTTAACTGGGTCCTCCGAATGATGATTGAGCTACGAGGCGATCTGATAGTTCCGCTTCGAAGGCCGATTTGCAACTGTCGGTGATACTGTATTGTGGGCATCCGTTTTCGGCGGCTTTTCTGCGGTTGTTTCCCAGGCGTAGGGAGGATCTCGCTTGTAGCAGAGTATGGTCCGCGTCCACGGGTGTTGACCATTAGGAGCGGCAGTCTTGAATTGATTCCCTCCAGCGGTAACTGATGGCGATGTGGTCGATCTGGGTCCAGCAATGTGAAGACGTTGGCGGTTTCCATGTAAGACAGTGTCGTTTCTTGTGTGAGAGGTTCGTGTTTGACAAGAACAATCGGTGGTCCGCACAGAGTTAAAGTAGGCGATCTCCGTTGTCCGTCCGGTTGGCTGGGATTGCATGCGGTCCGCCGAGAAGCCTTTCTGATCCGTCCAGGGATCCCACTTGAACATTGATGTCTCCGTCGACTACTACGACGTCCGTTGATCGAACACTTTGGAGTAATTGAGAAAAATCCTTGTAGAATTCATCCTTCATTTCAGGTGAACTGCAATCTGTCGGTGCATACGCGGATACGACGAACCAGCATCGACACTTCATTCTGTAGCTATTGAACCGTGGTGAACCGTTGAGACGTATGGCGCATAGTCGGCTACTGACTGGAATCCAGTCAAAAAGAGAGCGCTCCGCCTTGATATTTAGCGCAGTTCCAGCAACGCGAGCTTTGGATGCCGAATCGCCAGTGCCGTTAGCACGGACTCGGCTTCGGCTGTCAGTATACAGATTGCAAAATTTAAATTAACTTGTGAGGCACACTCTTCAGCGCTGGGCAGCGCCAGAGTTTAGAGCGGTCAACTGGGTCGGATGCCGCTTTCAGATCAAGGGAGACACAAATGATGGGTCTGCGAAGGGAGTCTTTGGTTTTAAAATTTGTCGAAGGGTAAAAATGTGGTCTATACAACCTCAACCAAGTCTAAAACCAGCCTGGTTCTCATGCGTGCACTCTTCACGTGCTGCAGACAATCGACGGAGTACAACACCAGGGAGAAGCTGAAAAACAATGTTGATTAAACTAATTCCCCAGTAGTTTTCACAAGAGGATCTGTCATCTTGCTTGTAGATCGGTAGGTGGTATCACTCCCCTTCTGTTGTTTTTCGTATTACAAAAGTGTGATGCAATATCAACAGAAGACGAGTCATCGAAAAACAAGTCTTGTTCGCTACATTGGGTTCGACTCAGTGTTCGTTGGTGGTTTAATGGGACGATTCAATTGATCGTGAAGCGACAGTCAGCTTGTTTCGTGGTGTGCACATTTTCAACGAAGTTGCTAGTACTGTCAGGTCAACACCGCATGCGCTGAGCTCGAAACATCCGATACTATTATTCGTGTTTATTAGGGGGCCCTATTCGCAGTTAAGGCTCCATATTGAAAGAAAGCACGTGGAGTTCGACAGATGATATGGCAAACATACATCGCATCTAATCAAGTAGGAATGCTTAAAAAGGTACGCATGCAAAGCTAGGTCTGCACTCTACATATTCATCACAGAAGTGCATTTTCTTTGTCCCTATACAATAAGGTTCAGTCCTGTCCATCTTATACCTTCTCACTTACTTTCTGTACATTTTGACCTCCGCAGTGAAGTTCACTAGACGATATTTCTCTGTACGATGATGAGGAGAAGTAAGGATCGTGGTATACCGATATCGTTACATATTATTACGGGCAGATTAATGAAAAATGTTAGACGAGCAGCCAATTATAAATAAAAAAGCATGAGATTCAATGTTTAAACTATTTTTAGTATGATTTACCATTGGTATAATTACAGAAACAACTGAAATACATTACAAAAACGACGTTGGAAAGTCCTCTGTCCGATTTGACCGTGTTTTTCAGTCATAAAAAGCTGCCTTTGGAAATTACTTGAGGTTCTTTTAGAAATTATTCTTTGTCAGTCTGAACTGATGACCAAAGAATTCTAAAGCTATGCACTCAGAATGAATCAATCAGATCAGTACACAAACCGATAAAACCTAAAAGGATGCGAATATCAGGGAGCCCTCACTGCAAAAGGCTTTATTATTATACGAATAATTGTTTGTCCTGGAGTCGAGAAAAACTCAGCTTACCTGCACCATTTTCCGAGTACGACTGAGGGAAGTAGCCTCGTGTAAGAGCATTTTGCAATGAAAAGTGGCTTCCGTCACCAGTTCACCAAAGCCAGATGGCTTTGTCAGGATTTCGTTTTGAAAAAGACCCGTACGTCTGGCATTTTCGTGACCTTCGTTAAGGTTAGCTACACCATTAAACGCATCAGCAAGTGGACTCAGACGGGCAACAGCACGAAAAGTCATGTATGAGACTGGGAGGCATTTTGGATGATTAAGCAGTATTTTGTTGCCAATGTTTGCAACCACACGAATCATAATGCTTTAGTGGAAGCTCTGAAGACCATACGTATTATCTACGCAATTCTGTTCTCTGGAAGAGTTAGGTAAGCCAACATTCTGAAAAAGAAATAAGGTGACGAATGTTAAGTCTGATGTAGGGAGAGAAAGAAGAGTTTGATTTACAATACACATCGAACAAGATATATCCAGTTCGGGAAGTATACCTGTATGCATTCGTGATAAACCAACTTCTCGAAGTTGCTACAATATACTTTGGTTATCTTCAACCGCTGGGATGATAAACTTTGGTCTACAAGTTAGCGCAGATTTCCTAATCTTTGTTTAACTCTTTATCTTCCATACACAACCCTCCCTCTTTGTCCCTTCTTCCAACCCGTAACATTCCCTCAAACAACTTGTTCCTCACTCGCCCAAATTCGTCGGCAAGTAGCCCGGTAAGTAGTTCACCACAAAATAGAGTGCAGATTCTGAAGCCCCGTCAAACACTGAATCTGGGGGCCTTCAACATGAGGACTCTGACGCAGATAGGTCAACAAGCGTGCCTGGTGCGTACAATGGACTCTTTGGGGCTTGATGTCTGCTGCGTGTCGGAGACTCGAATCCAGGATCCTAGTACTATATGCCACTTAAGTGCACCGGGGTTGTCTCCGAGGTCCTTCCTCCGCACATCAGGTGATGACGAAGTCCGTTCAGTAGGCCAACGTGGTGTAGGCATTGTACTCAACAATACAGCCGAAGCCGCACTACTCAATTGGATCCCCGTCAACGGTCGCTTATGTTCGATGCGGCTCCAAGGATCTATCAGCGACCGGAAAGGAACCAACACCAAAAGGTATTTATTCATCATTTCAGGGTATGCACCAACCAACTGCAGTTCTGACGAACAAAAGGACGAGTTCTGTGATAAACACACCGAACTCATTCGGTTGAGCAGAAGCTCCAATTTAGTTGTTCTCGTAGGCGAAGTTAGAAAACTAAGTGCATCGGAAGCTTGCCAAGGCGATCATTGTGCTCTGCCTTGTCAGCGAACAGATAATGGCGATCGAATTATTCAATTCTGCGCGGACCATCAGCTGTTCCTATCCAGCACAAACTTCAGACACAGCTCTCAACGGAGAGCAACGTGGCGCTCAAATTCAACTGGCACGGTAACTCAGATCGACCATGTAGCAGTAAGCTACCGTTGGCGTGGCTCAGTACAAAACTGCAGGTCCTATTGGACCACCCGCGTTGTTCTACTGCCTTGTGGGTCAGACTTTTGAGTCAAAGGATACAGTTAGGGTTCCCAAAGAAAAACCCCTTCGTCGGTGTGGGCTGCCGCAAAGTTTTTCGTGCCCTATTGTCTTAGACACCCATTTGGAAAGCCATCTTTCCCACCTGTCGAGTTCTTCTCAATTCCAAATAATCCCAGATGCCTCCTGTTTAAGCCATCCAGCGAATATCAATAAGCGTTTTACAAGCAAGGCCAAACAATTAGAAGTTATAGGATTTTTAAAGCCAAAATTCCCTTTTTACTTAGGCGCGCTCAATGCCCGCACACTCAATCAG